CGCGAAACTTCCTTGCACCGGCCCTGATTTTAAGGCTTGTTTTTCAGCCCCTCAATCATTTTTATGGCCTTCTGTTGAACTCTCTGTAGTATTTCCACATCCTTCTTGAAGAGTAGCTATCAGAACTGGACACAGTATTCTAGTAGTGATCTTACCAATACTATGTACAGAGGCAAGTTCACTTACCTACTTCTACTTGATATTCCCCTTTTTATTACATTCAAGGAGCACATTAGCCCTTTTTGTCACAGCATTGTATTGAGGTCTCATGTTGAGTTGATTATCTATCATGACTCCTAAGTGCTTTACCAAGATGGAATCTTGCATCCTGTAGGTATGACCTCCGATCTTGGTTCCCAGATGTATTACCTTGAATTTGGCTGTATTAAAACACATTTTGTTGCATTGTAACCATTTAACCAGGCAATTCAGATCACCGTGTAACAGTAACCTGTCCTCCTCGTTATTTACTACCCCAGCAATCTTTGTCTCATCTGCAAATTTTATCAGCAAATGTTTTATAAAATCATTATTTTATATATCATTATTATTGTATAAATTCATCTAGATTATTCATAAAAATATTAGTGTGATAGTATATCTCACCATTACCAACTACATGTTGAGATCTGTCAGTGAACCAGTTTTTAGACCATCTAATGTTTTTTTTAACCCTGTTAATTGCGTATTGTGACATTCCCCAGGGTACAGTCTGGAATGTTGAACAGATGCATCCCCTCAATTTTCCAGCGTGGGGTGCCTTTTACACTGCTTCGTTGTGAGAGTAACCACTCCTGGTTTGCTCAAACAGCCTCCAGCATGTAAATCACTCCCAGCTATACTGTATGAGTGCTATAGCCAGCCACCCATGAATTACACTGCAGGGCAATACCAGGAAACTCTCAGTCTCAGACTTTTCCCCAGAAATGTGGATCTTGTACTACCCAGTACCATCCTGGACAATACAAGCTCATTGAAGGTATATCATTTCATTAATAGAAAATATGCACAAATCCTGTTACCCCAAATGAAGTTTCCCAAACACTTCAATCCAAACACTCACTGGTTTAGATCAAGCAAGTTTATTAACTACAGAAAGATAGATTTTTAAGTGATTACAAGTAGGGCTGTTGATTGATCGCAGTTAACTCACATGATTAACTAAAAAAAATTAATCGCGATTAAAAAAATTAATCACACTGTTAAACAATAGAATACCAATTGAAATGTATTACATATTTGTGGATGTTTTTCTACTTTTTCAAATATATTGATTTCTATTATGACACAGAATACAAAGTGCACAGTGCTCACTTTATATTATTATTTTTATTACAAATATTTGCACTGTAAAAATGATAAACAAAAGTAGTATTTTTCAATTCACCTCATACAAGTATTGTAGTGCAATCTCTTTTTCGTGAAAGTGTAACTTACAAATGTCATTTTTTTTGTTACATAACTACACTCAAAAACAAAACAATGTAAAACTTTAGAGCCTATAAGTCCACTCAGTCCTACTTCTTGTTCAGCCAATCGCTAAGACAAACACATTTGTTTACATTTGTAGGAGATACTGCTGCCTGCTACTTATTTACAGTGTCACCTGAAAGTGAGAACAGGCATTCGCATGGCACTTTTGTAGCTGCTGTTGCAAGGTATTTACGTGCTGGATATGCTAAACATTCGTATGCCCCTTTATGCTTCAGCCACCATTCCAGAGGACATGCTTCCATGCTGATGATGCTCGTTAAAAAAATAATGCATTAATTGAATTTGTGACTGAACTCCTTGGAGAATAGTGTATATCCTGTTCTGTTTTACCCGCAGTCTACCATATATTTCATGTTATAGCAGTCTCGGATGATGACCCAGCACATGTTCGTTTTAAGAACGCTTTCACAGCAGATTTGACAAAATGCAAAGAAGATACCAATGTGAGATTTCTAAAAATAGCTATAGCACTCAACCCAAGTTTTAAGAATCTGAAGTGCTGTCCAAAATCTGAAAGGGACGAGGTGTGGAGCATGCTTTCAGAAGTCTTAAAAGAGCAACGCTCAGATGCGGAAACTACAGAACCCAAACCACCAAAAAAGAAAATCAATCTTCTGCTGGTGGCATCTGACTCAGATGATGAAAATGAACATACATCGGTCTGCTTTGCTTTGGATCGTTATTGAGCAGAACCCGTCATCAGCATGGATGCATGACTTCTGGAAAGGTGGTTAAAGCATGAAGGGACATATGAATCTTTAGCGCATCTGGCACGTTAATATCTTGCAACTCCGGCTACAACAGTGCCATGCGAACACCTGTTCTCCCTTTCAG